CAATGATCATCTTTTTAAAATCTCTCATTTGTACCCCTTATAAATCTTTGTGGTCAGTAGCATGATGTATCAGGGGACAGTAGCAATTTATTACATTCCCGAGACACTATAAAAACATTTTCACTATTTGCTATAATAGCAAAAAAGTTTCATTGGTGCATGCAAATAATCACTTTCAAATGCTAAAACACTAAAATATCTCATAAACTTTTTTCTTCAGGCTGCCTGGGATTTGCTTTAAGAATCTGCATGAATAAATTATAAATGGACAGATCACAGCAGACTGCACTGAGCGAGGTGAAGCTCCATGGAGTGAATTTTAAACTGCGCCCAGCGGTCAAGAGGCGTGTTTAGTATCAGCGAGAGCACAGGTTTTGCTTCATAATCCTTCACAAATCTCCCCATCCTATGACTTCCCAGGCAGTCTCCTCGGTGTCCTTCATCACATTTAATTTTTCTCCCTTCTCAAGTACTCATGAACACTCCAGGCAGCCTTATTAAAATTACACCAAGGAGGGGGGGACACATAATTGGCTTTCCAGGCGAGCCTGTTTGCGACTGCATTTGAAATGAATGCTACGCATATTAGGCTAAGTGAAGAAATAAATGACGAATGGTATTAGCAGTACTCATACAACATTACAAGAGCAGGAGCAAAGCAGCGTGCTGCACGGTATGTCTTGGCTCTACCCACAGAACGCACAGCAAGGATGGTAACATATAGCACAGTGAAAAATGGCATTTGGCATGCAAATTAAAAGGAGGGCAAGGCTCCCAGTCTTGGCTCTGCACCCACCCAACGTAAACTCAAACTTGGAAACAATTAAGCTTGCCTATAAACCCAGAGCCATGGGAAACTAATGGAGTCCTAAATCATGAAGGCAAAGGAAGAATACTCATTAGCCAATCCACACAGTGGTTTTATGGATGTTCCTAAAAGGCAGGAGTGGACAGGACTCTTATAAAACCACACATTAAATTTTTTAAGGCATTGAAATTATAATATTAGATCATAATACTGTTGGCATTTGTATTGAAAACTCTGAAATCCAGGCGATAAAGAAGCTACTTTTTAAATGCTCATTTGGGGGGATTATTCATCCATTGTCCTGATCTGCCAGAGTTATTGCTAATATAGTCACGCACACATAGCAACATTTCAGTCAACGACATACCACGTATATTATGGTGCTCCCATAAGATGGTAGTGGGGCTGAAAAATTTGTAGCCATCACCAAGTCATAGCACAACATTACTATGCTGTCAGTCATATAAAAGTATAGCATGTACAATTATGTATACTTCATAATACCTAATAATGACTAGTAACAACTATGTTACTAGTTTGTGTATTACTATATTAAACTTTTTAACATTATTTTAGAGTGTCCTTTTAATTATTTTTTAAAAGTTTTCTGTAAAGCATTATGCCATGTTACATGGGCAGCAGGTTCATACATCTCATATTTACTTCATGACTTGATTGCATAATTTTCTCTTGTACTTGATTTAGTCTCATATTGTTCTGTATAGTAACATGATGTACAGGCCTGTAGCCTAGGAGCAGTAGGCTCTACTACATAGCCTAGGCATGTAATAAGCTATACCATCTAAGTTTGTGTAAGTGCACTCTATGATGTTCGCACAATGGCAAAATCATCTAACGACAAATTTCACAGAAGGCATCCCCTTTGTTACGTAGCACATGACTGTAATCAAATGCTAACAGTATCTGAGGGAAAGAAACTAATCCCCTTCTTATTCGCCATCCCACCCCACTCAGGATACTTCCTTCCACCCTCAGTTTTCTGCCTTCACATCCAGTCTCTTTATTCTCATTTCTCTTCATGCAAATGAAAGGAGAGAGCAGGATTCAACCTATTATTACTGTCTACTCAGCCAAATGATTGTCCAGGCTGAAAACAGAACCAGAAATGCCCCTGAGGGTACAGGCTAGGCAAGGGGCACATTCTTCTCTTGCATTGATAAGGCCCTTTGTTTGAAGTGCAACACAGAATGAGGCTCACCATTTAAAAAAAGGCAAAGAATATTCTTGTGGACTCACGGTTTCTTAGCCAAATCCCGTATCTGACTCTAAAGCTGACCTTGAGTTCTCTCCTCTCCATCGTTGGAGGTGTCTGTGGACACAACTTACACATGTTCGATATGTCAGGTGCCAGTCAACTGACCAGGATGCACTAATTTCTAAATTCCTAAAACTAAACACCAGAAAAATTATCAGTCAAATCACCAGATTTCCTTGTGTTTTCATAACCTACTGATTTGTTTATTGGTTTTCCAAAGCATGTACCCAATCAGGAGGACCATATTGTGATTATAAGTGGACCATTTGTTTGCCCTTAATAGGCCTTGTTTTGATGTGCTGATAGGGGCTACTAATCAACAGTAATCAGTTGCACAATATAATTTTAAAAATCACTCCTAATACTTGCAATACAAATAGCATTTAAAATGTAAAAGCAATTGTGCGCTCATCAGGGCCTGACATGAGGGGAAAACGTATGTTGTGCATTTGGGTGGAAGGGGGATGTGGTGTCTCTAAGAGAAAATTGCTTGTACGTATATTGTAATGTTTTATCATTACTAAAGATTTTTGTGTTTCAAATATTATAAACTAAACAATCAGTATGCATTAACATATCTAGTGTTTATAAAGCTGCAGCTTTGAACAGAACTTTATCACTGATAAAGACATTGTTGATGTCATGTATTTTATCGACACTGGAGAATTCTGCAAGTTACTTAACTATAAAATTGTAGTTTGCTCATCATGTCTCTTAATGCTGAATTTTTTACAATAATATTTTCCATTGCAAATAACATTTAAACACAAAGAAGTACTTCTCACTCCAATGACTTACAGACACACGATTTCCATCAGCCACTGTTCTGTAGTTGGCAGCAGTCATAACAAGGCTTGGGAGAATATTTAGAAAGCAGCCCTTCTCAGCCTCTCACTAAGGATCTCCTTCATTCCTCTGCAGAAGAGAAGAGGAAGCACAAGAAGAATCACCTGATGCAGAACCCGATTCCCACTTCATGGATGTGAAATGCCCAGGATGCTATGAAATCACCACTGTCATTAGCCACGCACAAATGGTAGTTGTGTGGTGGCTGCTCCACAGTCCTCCATCAGCTGACAGGAGGAAAGGCAGGGCTAACAGAAGGGTGCTCCTTCAAAAGGAAGCAGCAAAAAAAGCACCTGAATCAAGACACATAGAGAACCATCCCCATAAGCACATTTTGGATGCGTCCTATCCATTGTCTTATCTTCTACCACTAGGAAGGTCCTACCCCAAGTTTTAGGGATAACCAGAAGAGTGGCCTGCTAGAGTCATTTGGGGCAATCTGTGAAATAAAATGAAGGCAGTTTCCAAATCAGAATTCCATGGTGTTGAACATAAGAAGTCCTTACCTAGGAAGATGAAAGCTGCTGATGCCAACACAGCAAAGAGGGTAAAGAGGAGGATCTGGTAGGAACCCATGAACTTCTGGAGGACACCTGCACCCTGATCTATGCATCGGCCAGAACAAAGGAAGGTACTAGTTATTTAATAACACATCCAGGGCGGAGGCTGCATTTTAAACCTTGAGTGGTCATAAGAGTATCCAGCAGAAGCATTCAAAACCCAGCCCTCTAGGAAATTGTTTGGCTTCTTATCAACCTGGCTCCCTCTGTTTGGCTTTTTCCTATATCCAAAGCAATAAACTCCTCCAATTCTTGAGCCTCTCATTTCTTCTTCTCAGCTTATAAAAGAATATTTAAATCCTCTGTCACTTGAGAGTGCCTGTTACCTTTCCTGTGCACTTGGACTTGCTTCCCTTCACCAAATGTATGCAGTTTATGGTGATTGGATTTCTAAGTCTAATCCCTCCAATGTAATGTGCTTCTTTGGTTCTCCAATGACCTCTAAAAACCCAAGGGTCCCTTAGCCTTTTTTACTCAAAACATCATTTCGAGGGAACATTGGTTTGTATATAACCTTGTCTTCAATAAAACTTTACACTCCTGTCTTTGGAACATAACATAGATAGATAATAGATAGACAGATGATAGATAGGTAGAGAGATAGATACATAGATAGATAGATAGATAGATAGATAGATAGATAGATAGTTAAATAGATAGATGATATATAGATAGATGATAGGTAGATGATAGATAGATAGATAGATAGATAGATAGATAGATAGATAGATAGATGCCACTATAGTGTGGCTTCTGCCTGTTAATCTGTGACACACTGAAAGTACTGCAGTCTCCCCGTTCTTACTCTTGGCATTCAGTATTTTCCTTTGTAGCACTTAACCCACAATCTTTTTATCTTTTTCTAAGTATCTCACACATGTGTCAGGTTATGCAATCATAATCTGAGATTATAAAAAATTACACACCTGAATAGTTGCTTATTTTCTGTCTGTTCTTCTGATTTGCATTCCAAGAAATCAGGGACTGTGATAATTTTTTCTCCACCATCATTCCACCAGTACACTTGAGTACCCAACACACAGGAGGTGCAAAATAAATAATGTGATAAATCAATATTGAGACAGATGAAAAAGACTGCGCCATCACTCTACAATGGTACCAAGTCCCTTGATGTTTTCTCCATATCCAGGGCAGTCCGTGACTCCCCATCACCTGGCAGATTCAGTCAATGGGTCCTCCCTTGCCCCTGACTCAGTAACATGCAGAATGCCGTTCAGTGGGTGGGAAATGGGGGATGAAAGTGAAGGTGAGGCAGAAAGGGGCTTCATTGGTTCTTCACTGCTTCAGAGACATTCCTTGTTGAAAAGTTCCAAAAATTTTTAGTTATTTTTATGATGTCCTTTTCTACATATATACAGGTGTGTATCATAAAATTATATGAATTATGCATGTTCAAGTTATTTAACATAAAATCAAGTTTTGAAAGCTTAATTCTGGATATTCAATGGCACTTACCCCTTTCTAATAAGTACCAATCTCAATTCAGACATTCATTTAAAAAAATTTATTAATTCTCATTATTTTCACATTTTCATTATATGTTCTTCAAAATAAAATGATGGCTTGACTACAATCTACAAAAATCAACTGATATATTAACTCAGACAAAAAGAAACTGCTCAAATAAAAACAGCATCATCCAAGAAGGGTAGGAGTCCATAAAAAAAGGATTAATCTGAAATGGAGAATACAATAGTTGAAATAAAGCATACACTGGAAGGAATAAACAGTAGGTTGGGTGACACAGAGAATCAAATCAGCGATTTGGGTGTCAAGGTAGAAGATGGGTAGGAGCCACATGAACCACTCAGGTCTAACTCATCATAATTAGCATAAATTCATACTTATCACAGAGTGAAGCCTAGTGAGAGGGATTACACCTGTCTCCCTATAACCCTCCATCCCGATGAAACCTTTTATGTAGAAACAAGTAATGCAGAACTAAAGGTAACATTTGTAAAACACAATTCTAATTTAATACTGACCAAGTTTTCTAGTCAATAGGTTATAAATGAAGTGGTTCATAATTTATGCCTAGAACTGAATTTAAAATAAAAAATATATGAAAACTTCCTTAAATAATGAAAGCCCATGTGAAGTCCCCATACACCATCTAAGACTTTTATTCTTTCCCTATTTTTTTCTTACAATCATTATATTTTTTAAGTCAACAGAAACCTTTACCGTGCTATCATGTCTGTTTTTTTTTCCATGTTATTGTCTAAATACATTTTACAGTTATAATCACAGTACTCAATATTTTGTTAACTATCTTTAAGTTAATATGTGCTTACCATTTCTATATTATTAAATGTTTAATACTGCTGTTCATGGCTGCCTAATATCTCCTAATTTCCTTAAACATAGCCTTAGTATTGAACCTTTAGGGTATTTTTCATTTATTTCTGTTATTGAATACATTTTTGCACATGAATTTGTTAGGTCTTTTAAATGGTTTCCTTAGTATAGATTTCCAGGAGAGAAAATAAGAATCAAAGCCTGTGAACTTTTTTATGGCTCTTTCTGAGCTTAGTTACTTAATTATTTTACAAAAAGGATGGGTCAATTTACATTGCTCTAGGAGTCTTGATTGAATCATTTGACAAAGACTTCACCACAATTTACTTCTAGCTTTCATTTTTTTTCTTATAACAGATATCAATTAGTATCTCATTATTAATTATCAGTGGAGTTGAACATGATTCTACATGTTAATTCTTCAGGATTACATGAATTGTGTATTCACCCAATCACATTCTTATTCCAGTCTTCTATGTCCTTCTATTTTTTAAGAGGTCTTTTTTTAATTGGCTGCTTGAGCCATGAACATAAATCTCTCAACCTGACCTAAATGCAAAAGGCAAATAAAGCAAAATCAGCACAAACTTGCCGTGTCACCTTAGAGAACGGGGCTGTCACCAGAAGCACATTAACAGAAGAATAATCCTTTCAAGGAAAATACCATCTGCTCAACCTAGTCAGTCCTTAGACTTCAAGGAGGAAAAAATATATTACTGTGGATTTGAGGGCCACGCTTCATTAGGAAGTTATAAATTTTACTTTTAAATCTCCAAGCAACTTTTCAGCAAACACAGTGATCGGTCATTAATGATGAAACCGGTTAAATGTAATTAAGCATCCGACTGAGGAGAAGGAAACCCTATGCAGCTCATTAATCATGATCAACCAGATTTACACAGTGTTCATTGCTCATAGAAGATAAAGGGTCTGGTCATCTGTAGGCTGCATTTTCCAAAGTACTGGGTGGGGGACAAGCCCCATATTACTTGACATCACAGAGGAGGGCGACCCCACGGAGCACCCAGTGTTCAGGAGTCTGGGCCGTCCTGAGGTCCACAGCAGCGATGTAATTCAAGTCCGTTCGGACCGGCTTCTTATAGATGGGACAGGAGTAAAACCGAGGATCTCTTAGAGCTATAAAAAAATTCATAAAGGAAAAAAACTGGTGAATTTCTAATTTAAGTAACCCAAACAGTGCAGAGCCAAATGGGTGCATTATGAAGGTGGTTCCAGAAGAGATGGGTTTGGTAAAATGAGGGAAATTCTCCCTGGAATCAGTCAATCCCTAGATGGGAAGAAGACACAACTGTAGGTGGCCAGTGGATATGACAAGACGCCCAGGCATACCCAGGTTTTCCCCGCTGGCCTCTTGTCCCCTGTCTGTGACAGTAACTCCTGCCCATGTACCATGACCATAAGCCTCCCACTGCTTCCTCCCTCTCCTGTCAATTCCATTTAGGATCACATGAATTGTCTATTCACCCAATCACATTCTTATCCCAGTCTTCTATTTCCTTCTATTTTGTAAAAGGTCTTTTTTTAATTGGCTGCTTGAGCCGTGAACACAATTCCATTGCCCTTCACCCTTTCTTCTTTACTTCCCTACCACATTTTGTGCTCTCACCCTCCTCCCCCAACGCATCGCCCCCAGTGTTTCCTCAGAGCTTGCGTTTGGCAAGAGGCACCTTTTAATCAGACAGCCAGAACCAATCCTCACTACTATTTCATTATTATTATTATTATTATTATTATTCCAAAATCCTGTCTTCAACCCTCTGTGCCACAGTCCAAACCACATTGGAAATCACAGGACAGAGGGTGCTTCCCACTCCTGCCAGGTGGTGTGAGTTTTCCTTGTGTGTGGAGAAATAAAAGGGGCTGTGGAGCAGAGAGTCATGGCTGAGTCCAGCTTCCTGCGATTCAATCTACACTTTTGAAGTGGAGGAGAGAGTATCCAAAGCCACACATGCCATGAAAGACATGTGGTTGGCCACCCTTCAAAGATCCTCTTTAATGCATTTATCCCTAACCAAAGGCTCACTTCCTCTCCACCCTTGGAAACCGAATAATCAGGGACAGATTCAGGTCTTGTGGGGCCATAAACATACAAATTAGGGGAAAGGGCTCTTTAAGAAAAAGAGTACAATTTTACAAGTACATATGCAGGCTTTGGAAGGAGACTCTTGCATTGAGTAGCCTTGGAGTTTAAGCTTCATTAGCTGCTTGTTAAGTCCACTCTGCCCAGGATACTTTATCTGTACATCTTATAACATCCATCTCAGGAAGCAGTGTATTATTTCCCCTTCTCTTCCAGATTATAAATTTCTTCAGGACAGAAGTTGTGTCTGCACCCATCCTTGTACTCCTCTGGAAGGCTAATATTATAAATGACCCTCATATAACTACTGAGATGAAAGCACATTTAACTAAGAGGATAACTTTGCTTTGGTGAATTCGTGTTACAAACATGAGTACTGATACATGAAGACAGTAACTTTCTAAATGCAATGTTAATATATCAAAGTGACTGAATTTATGTTGCCAAACTAACCTCCTCAATAATTTAGCTTTTCTTAACATATTATAAAAACAAAGCACTATCAGAAATTATCTCATTTGTTGACCCAAGAAAACCTTCAACCTGTTGTGCCATGTGTTTTTATACCTCCACTTAATTAATGTTATTGGAAGAAGTTAAATAGTTGAATATGATAGTATTATAGATGTTTCAATACAAGATAAATATTCTAAAGTAATAATTCTTAACCAGGGGTGATTTTACTCCCAGGGGGGTGACTTGCCAATATCTGGACACATTTTCGGTTATCCCAACTGGGGAGGTGCTCGAGGCATCTAGTGGGTAAAGGTCAGGGATTCTGCTAAAATCCTATAATGCATAGGGCAGCCCCTCACAACAAAGAGTTATCTATACCAAAAATGTCAGTAATACCACGGTTGATAAACCCCGCTCTAAACAGATATTTTACAGTACTTTAAAACTATGTGTTTGTTTAATCACATGAAATTAATCATTAGAAACAATCTAAATTAATGTAACATCTAACATTTAAGTCTAGGCATTATTTTTTTAATTACCATGGGAATATCATTAGTAATAATAATTAAGCAAATATATTAATATATGTGAATGACAGTAAATTCATGAAGTGCAATCAATACTAATTCTACTAACTGATATATTTAAATCCTTTACTCCTAGGATCTGTAAACAGAACAAAAATATAACTGCTCATTCTTCTGGATGAAAATTTGACTAACAATCATTTTATAAATCTTGAAGTAAGCCACTGGAGTCTTAGATTTAAACCAAATGATCATTATAATAATTATACCTTGGCAAGAATTTGACTACTTACATTTTAATCCCCCAAAAATAGAACTGGAAAAATAGTATCCTTTTCAATAAGCAGATAAAAATTCTCTGAAATTTTATTTATTTGTAATCGCTGCAGAGCTAAAGGTGGCCATGCCAAGTCACAGCGTGCCGCAAACTTCAGCAGCGGGATTAGAAGCAACTGAAAATATGATTTCATAGTGAAAGTGCTGACAGATGCTAAACAACCACAGAAACAGATGATTCCAAACCATTACGCCCGGTTAGACAAATAACTTTGAAGGGGAAAATAAACATGCTATGTAGGTAGAACAGATCAGCTAAATATGTTTAAAGCCTTGGGGCTCCAGGAGGAAGAGCTGAGAGAAGTGGTTGTCGAAATGGGTGAGCCATCAGCTTTAGGGGCCTAAAGGCTTTAATAAAGCACCTGAGGGAATTTCATTTTCTAACTAGGTAATAATTTCCCTCTCTAGCCTACATTTTTCATCCAAATGTTATCATGACATATATTCCTTCCATATCCAAAATAACCGAGTTCCATAGAGATCCCCATTAAATCATTCCTTTAATTTTTAAAATTTATTTTACTTTATTTTTTTCCATCACCATTTATCCTCTCTATGCCCTCTTCCGCCTCCACCAATCCCTCTCCACTGCTGCCACCACCCCTCTGTTGTCCATGTCCATGAATTCTCTCTTTTTTTTTCTTTTTTGCTCAATCCCTCCATCCCCCCACAACCCACTCCCACACGCCCAAGTTGTCTGCCTATCTCTAGCCATGAGCCTGTCTCTATTTTGCTTGGTGGTTCACTTTGTTCATTAAATTCCACATGTGAGTGAAATCATATGCTACTTGTCTTTCTCTGACTGGCTTATGTCACTAATGTTCTCCAGGTCCATCCATGCTGTCACAAAGGGTATTTAACCCCTGTTTTGCTAATAACATTTAAGATACTAAATAGAGAGCTCTTACATATGATATTTCTTTTCATCTTTCAATAAGCATGTGAGAGAACATATCAATAATAACAACAGTAATAAAATTATTTATTGTATGCTATGTGCTGGACATCATCTGTATTATGCTCTCAACAACCCTATGACATGGGTATGATTATTAAATTATTAAATCCATTTTACAGATTGAGAAAACTGGACCATACGGACGTGAGTTACTTGCCAAGGTTACCAAGTTGTAGGCGATATGGTAAGAATCAAGCCCCACCAGAATGGATCCAGAGCCTGTGGTCTTCATCTCGTCAATAGCTGGGACGTACTATGTGTACGTATGTGCCTCTGTGTCTTTGCAGGAAGATGTGAACATGTACCGAAGATAACTAGATACCTGACTTCAAATCCTGGGTGATAAAGCCAGGGGAGAAACCCAAATGTCCAGGTGCCTGGCTCCCTGTCTTCTACCTGAAAATATGTGGTCCCACCAGTAGGCAGGGGAGGTGAGCCTGAAGCAAGAGGGGAGGGAGGCCATCGGGAGTAAGAGCTCATTTTAGCGTAGGGCGGAGGTTTTTACTGTGTCTGCCTCACTATGCACCTGAGAAAAATTAATTCACGACTTCAAAATGCAAGGGAGTTGCCCTCATTTTCAATGTAGCCTTGATTCTCAGGCGCCATCCCAGACACCGCAGAGACTATCTAGAAGATACTTAGTCTCAAGCAGGACACTAACCACAGGAATTCCCAGAGGTTTGCATTCATCCCACAAAAGACAGATGGGTCCCCATACTAGTTCTGGTAGGGGGGAATCACAGGCAAATTACATAATGTCTCTAAAGCTTAATGTCCTCATTTGCAAAATGGGCATGATATATCTTACAGAGTCGTAAAGATTAAATAAGTTAATATATGTGAATACCTGGCATCATATAATGTCTGGAGTGCAGTAGATGCCCAAGGTGTGTTAAATTTCTAATCCTCCCACCCCCTCTCCACACACACACACATTTCCCAGACTCATGTTCCCAGGACGTTGACAGAGTTCCAGATTTAAAAATTGAGCTCCTGGCTCAGGAGTCAGGAGCTCGCCACCTCCTGGTCACCCACGGGGCTATTCCCATGCCCAGCCCTACATCTGCAGTGTTGGAAGGGGGCGGAGTCTACAGGGCATTCTTACAAAAATGTTTTCCCAAGCAGGAAATATCCTCATTAGCTGCATGGAACCTGAGATCTTTCTCAGCTTACTTTGTGACCAGAAGTACATATAAGTCTTGCTTTGTTCCCCCAAAATGTTCTAATCATGGTTTTACCATCACAAAGCTACAGCACTGCAGTTCATGTATAAGCATCACGAGCTATATCAAGCATGTCAAACTCGTGGCCCGCAGACCGCATGCCTCGTTTATTTGGCCCATGTTAGCCTTTGAGTTTGACATGCTTGATCTACATAAAAGGAAACAGATCTCTCCTATATCTGCCTTTTTTCAAAGTCCTTTGAAAACAGAGGACCTGAGTTGTGTATTTTTACCCTCTTGGTGAATTTAGTATTATTTGGGCAACTTTCCCATGATGTTCCAACAAGAAACATGAATAAAATAAATATTTGGGGATATTTTACTCAATTTTTAAAGTTCAAATAAATCTCTAGGAATCTTTTTGAAAACAAATAAACCAGCCGGGTATGTAAAATTCAATGATGAATTATTTACACTGAAAACTGTTCTTCATCTTAACATGAAAACAATTCATTATAAGAATTTTAATTTCCAAACTCTGCACTTTTGTTGGAGTGCCCTTTGGCCATGAACAATGCTACACCTCTTTATCTCAATTAGTACCCTATCCAGTTATCAAAAATGAATGAAAATTAGATTGACAGCAACAGAAGGTTAGCTTTTTATCACTAAACAAACACCTCTCCGACAACAAAGTTATTTGGCAAAACAAGTTTCCACCAATTTCTATTGAAACCAAAAAGAATAAAAAAAGAATAGAGAACTAAAGTGCTTCTTTTCTTTCTCTTTTTTTTCCCCCAGTACTTTGACATTAGTCACTTTTCCTTTGTTTATTTTACTTCCTCCCTTACCTGCTGCTAATGAGCCTCACCGCTGACTATGCCCAGCGGGGGGAACAGAGTTCCAGAAAAACCTGTTCTTAAATAAAGAATTGTTCGTATTATAAAATTATTACTTTATGACTACCATGCTGAGATGTTCAACATTTTATTGCAATGGATTTTTTACAGTTAGTCACAAGAAATTTAAAAAAAGTAACCCCTAGCTCCATGTGAGAAGAATCTTTCTTTCATTTTATAAGGAAAACATTTTTTACATGTTGACTAGCTGCAATAATAGGATAGAGCACATTTTCTAAAATATGATTTCTGGCTACAAGAATACGGTGGGGCCTTGACTTAAGAGTTAAATTCGTTCTGAGACCGAACTCGTTAAGGAGCTCGTTAAGGAGCTTGTTAACTCAAATTACTCTATCAACTCAATGCAAAAAATCGGCCGAGAGACAGCTGGTATCTCAAAAAACTCATTAGTCAGGACACTGGTAAGTCAAGGCCCCACTGTATTTGATTATCATTCCTATAAAATAGTCCCTGCCCCAGGACCAAATACCACCCTGAGAACCAGTAAACACAAAGTCACACGCTAGCCTAATGCCAGGCAGACACTTGTGTCCTCCCAGACACGGCCAAGATATTCTGAGCAACACCATGGGCCCAGAACTGTGCTGAGCACCCTCACAGTTCTTCTCTTGCTCCATAAGCTTCTCTTCCTTCACATACCTTTTCTCTGTTCCTCAACACAGCCTACTTGTTGCTACCTCACACCTTTCCCCTGGATGTCATCAGAGGCACTTTCTGCCACTTGGATCCCAGTGCAATGTTCTCTCCTTGGCGAGGCCTTCCCCAACCCCCTGAATTATAGGAACAAGAACTATCTGCCATCAGTATGTTCACTTACAACTGATTCTCATTATTCATGGGACTGTGTGTATAAAGTCTCCATGAATGCCCGGCCAGTGCTGCACAGTGGTTGAACGAGAACCAGGAAGTTGAGGTTCAATTCCCATGCCCGGGTTCGGCCAGTGCTGCACAGTGGTTGAACATGGACCTATGAACCAGGAAGTTGAGGTTCAATTCCCATGCCCGGGTTACAGGTTCGATCCCCAGTGGGGGGTATGCAGGAGGCAGTCAATCGATGTTTCTCTCTCCCTCTCCCTCCCTCTCTCTTAAGTCAATAAAAACATATTTAAAAATAATAATAAAATAAAGTTTCTGTGAACACTGAATCAGGGACCATGGAACCTGTGCTCCTGGGGAAATACAGGGTTAGGCCGCTGAGAGGCTCTGGTCACATTTTCATCAACCCACCAATATGTCATTTTGTTTTATGTGTGTTTCTACTGAAAGACACCTCTCTATTATACATTGTTGACTCACTGACATTGACCTCCAGGCCAACAGCATTATAACTCATGCCTGCATGAAACATATCTAGCACACGTGTTTTCTCCATAAGGCACATGGCAGTCTTTCTGCACTAGGGCACTTCAGGACTACTCCTGGGCATCTTAAATAGCAAAAGCACACAAACGTGAAGATGTAGCACTAAAGAGACCACAAAAGGACACTTGTTTACAACTGAGACACTGTCACCTTAGTCAACCTCAGCTGGGAGCATGCATGCCGGGAGCCTCAAATGTTTCACTGTTTTGTGAGTGTCTGGGAATTACCATGAAAGCACCACAAGCACTGATTTCTGGGTTACAAATAAATTTAGCCAGTAGGTGAATTCATAAGTACAGAATCCATGAGTAACAGGGATTAACTCTATTTGCTTCTTTTTCAGCTACCATTCCCTGTTGAGTTCCATGACAATGGGGAGTCTGCCTGATCTTTTTCTCACTGTTGCATCTCCAGCATGAAAATAGTGCGAGGCAGATGGTCAATATCAGAGAAATATTCATGGGACGACTGAGTGAGCTCATGCTTTTTCTCTCTGCCAAGAAAAATCTCCCTCTAACTCCCTAGCCCACTCGTCCTTGTCCTCCAGAGAACATCTCAGAAGAATCTGCACCTACCTCCCAGGCACAGTCTTGATCTCCTTCTAGGCTTCCTGAGCATCCTGGGTGTATCTCTGTCATAACATGTATTAAATTCTATTTTATTTACTCATCAGTCTCCCCCACTAAACTGTGAGTCCTTGGGCAGAATCTGGTTCATAGTTACCTTTGTGTCCCTTGCACCTAAGGCCAAGGATAGTATATATTAGGCATGCAGCCAATGATGTTTGCTTAAAAAAAATAAATACTCGTAGTTTATAAACGCTCTTTTCTTAATCCAGGTTTCCAAATGGGACATTCATCTAATGGATGTGGATACTACAAGCTGTCTTTTTAAAAGATATTATATTTTATCCCTTGTCTAAAGAAAAATATCTTGTACTTCTGTCACACAATCAGTATTTCCTTGGGATCCACTATCATAGCTGCCTCTGGAGTTTATGGCTGATAGCAATCATTTCTCCGTGTGTGTGTGTGTGTGTGTGTGTGTGTGTGTGTGTGTGTTGTATTGTATACATTAAACACAATTTTTCTTTAAAAATAAGATAAATTTTAATAAAATAAAATGAACAGGAAAGTCCCACATGTGCTGATAGTTATTGCTGAGATGTTAGCTGGGTAAAATGCAACAACAAAAGCCTCTAGAAAACATCACGCCAACAATGGAAGCAGTTTATCAATTAGAGTTTCAATGACTTTTTCAAGGTAGAATAACGTGTGTGCTTCAAAGAAGTGGTATTACATTCATAGGCTGAAATATGAATCCAGCAATTTGCCATTAGCTACTGGATTAAGTTAAATGTCCCTGAATTCAATCTGGATTTCACGACCTGGCTTAAATCTCCAAGCTGGTGGTGGCTCCACCTCCAGGGAGCCCTGAGCAGTCCTGCCTGGAAAACCTTCTTTCCACCTTTTGCCCCACCTCCTCACCTTCATCCTTCCAAGCTCAGGCCAGGCCCAACTGCCCTGCTTCACCCCCCTGTTATCTCACCCTCCTTTCCCACCACTTATTACCTATTCCAAACACTTATTTCTTATCTCATCAGCTAACATTTTATGAGCATTCACATATATTTCATCTGCTTTATTAGATAGGCAAGAATTATCTAGAATTATTGCCTACCCAACAGCACTCATGAAAGTACCTAGTGGTCTATAAATACTCATTAAACATGGGTGTGAATGCAAAGGTAGCTGATAAAAGAGTCAAATTATCATTATATGATAACTAAAATAACAAGATCCGGTGTTTATAATGTCATTCAATTCAATAATACCACCCATCCCTAAATGCACAAGAAAACTCACTGTTGTTTTCTGCATAAATCCTTATGACAGGCATCAACTCAAAGAGCACTTTTGGTTTGGACTCGATGAGCTTCATGTTCCTCTTGTCCCAGCCAGCGCCTTCAAGATACAAGCCATAGACGTACACACCCTCTGTGGGAGGGGCAGCGATGTCATCCTTCATCCACTTGGTGACTTCATTGCAAAGCACCATATTGTCCAGAGCCCAGCCTTTGTTGGCCCGAGTTATCTCCTGCCCAGAGCAACAACAAAAGCAAAGGATGCAATGAGCAATTAGAGGTTTCCATACTAATATACAGAGCATACTGACAATGGAGCCTCCCAATTACCCTGACTCAAAGTAAGTAGAATGCTATTTAAAGTTAAAAAAAATCTCTCAGAATCGATACCCATGTCCCAAGTTAACCACTTCTACATACTAGTGTGTGTGTGTATGTGTGTGTGTGTGTGTAAAAGTTAGCACCCATAAGAGAGTCATTCTCTCTTGTTATATTACTTAAAAACTATAATGAAAAAAGAGAACTTTATAGAGGAAAATTATAAGAACACAACAGGTGCACATCAGAGCTACTTATTACCTGCCGCATTGCAGTCAAAAATCCTTGGGGGTTAAAGAAGCCGGTCATCCAGAAGCAGTGAGGTCGGCCATTGAAAACCCAGGAGGTAAACTGGCAGTTTCTTTCTAAAAGTTCAGTAAACCAGAAACCCAACGTACTTGAAACCCACGACGCCTGAAATGAATGCATTAAAATAATTAATACAGGTTTAATTTTGCTGCCTGACTGGCTACGTTCACGGAAAAAAAATGATGAAATACCAATTTCACCTTTAGAATTTAAGATTCCCTAAGACATAAATTATCCTGAGGTTCTGAAATTTAAGTTCTCCAATGATTCTTCCCGCTTAAGATATTATGATAGAATCAGCTGATCATCACACGAATACCAGATCGACTGAGAGCTCAGATGCTGTCCGCAATGTCTACTGTCAATAGACGCACCTCCCACTTACACACATATTCATCACCAATTCTGCCATAAAGTGCTAAAATAACCATTAAATTTAACAGGTTCCATCTACTTTCCTTAGGTTACATTTTCAACAGATACATCATAAAACAGGATCTCTATTTATTAAATGTGCTCATGGTCTAATCAACACTTTAAAATATATCTGTGGATAATAACTCACAGAAGCCTTATCCATTTATCACTTTTAATGAGGCACACAACAATTATCTTCTGGAGATTTCATCCCTTAAAATATATATTGATTTCCTTTGATAAAAGAGCAGAAATGGAAACACAGGCCCATTTGCCACCAACAAATTAATTGCATGTATTGCTTAAAAAGACATTCAGGCCCTCATTTTACTTTTCCAAATAGAAAATCATTTCTTAAAACCACCTCTGTCATTTAGCACGTTTACCAATAGGTAATCAATAAGAATACTTGTTATCTTGAGAGAGAGATATTTACATATCTACAAACAAAGGAAGGATAAATGCTTCTCTTTAGTGTGATTTTGGATATATGTGTGCATCTCAGAACATTCTCTTCAAGGAAACTAGTCTTGTGGGTGTTGAAGAGCAAAAGCTTGGGTTTGGATTCTTGGAGTACTTAGGTGTGTGATTTGAGAAAAGATTTCACCTCTCCCAACCTCAAGTTCCTCCTATGTAAATTGAGGGCGATAAAATGTAAGACTTTAAATGAAATAATGCGTGTAAGTCACTCAGTAGAGCACACGATATGTGGGAGATGTTACATAATTTCCTTCCCTACCTACAATCTAAAAATATAGGACTCTAAGGGGATTAGTTCCTACGCAAAAGAACACTTGTAAGCCAATTATCCTTGGGTGCTTTCCGTTTGCCGATTACAGCTATTCACAACAATAAGGTGATTAGGCAGAACCAGAGCAGCTTCTACGTACTTTTTTCCACTGAGCAGGAATTCTGGCATCAAACATGCAATTCAGTGCATCCCGAAGGTTTTCACTCATGATGATGGTGCCATCGATGGCAAGCTTCAGCTCGGTCAGGGTGCTGCGGACCAGCGTGAGCACCCTCTGCATTCTGTCTATCTCCTGCCTCAGGAAAATGTTCATCGGCTGGAATGCACCCATCTTTTGAAGCCTCTCTCTTACCTGCCGTGGAGACATTCAGTGCATGTTAAAAATTAGAAAGCTGTTAATGTTTAAGTAACTGGGGCTTCTTAAAAGGCCCCAGATTTTATAATTTCATAAATAGCAAACTTTTTTTTTTCACTGCCAGAAAACAGAGAAGAAATAAGAAAGAAAACATGTTAGATGACCAGTTGATTTTTATCCCATGTGGGAGAGAACAGGCAGCCTTTAATTCACAGAAAAATGTAAAGCACATGACCACAACCATACAGCCTTCTATAGAACAACCATACTTATTGGGAAATATTCACTTGCTGTCAATCTACGACTTTCAAACATACATATGGGTACACACAAATGGACTTGTACACATAGATGACCATTCTGCTGGCTTCCTCAAAAAACTATATGTGTCATTTAAAAGCTTTCTGTTTTCCATCAAAGCATCCATCCACCCACCCACCCACCCAATCATTTCCATCTTACAAGCATTTATTGATAATCAATCAGTCACTGTGCTTGGCTTAGTTGCTTTATCCTAGGGTAGCACTGACAAATTCAGCAAAAGGAGGGAGACACTCCTAAACCCCATTACTTACCATACTTATTTATTTAACTTATTTTTAGAGATTTTCAATGCTTCAGAAATATTAATCACTAGACAAGAGTGACCTGTTCCGTGATACTACAATGAAAGGTCTTTAGGAAAGCTGATTGCAGTATTGATTTCCTCCAAGCAAGGGGTCAGAGTTTCTTCTCGGGGAAATTATTCTCTGGTGATAGGTCCTTGAGTTTGGTCTGTAGTACTAGCAGCTAAATGGCCCACTCGTGGAAAACAATAGGATGCTAAAGAAACAAAATCCTGCAGGTTTCCTTCTGAAAACAGGTGGGAAGGCAGCAATATGTAAAGAAATATGGTGGCCGCATGATGAAAGTATTGCACATTTAGTTCAGGTATCTCTTAAGACAATATGGAAAGCAACCCAGTTACTTTTGCTTTAATCAAAAGTTTAAAAATGTTATCAGGATAAATATTTTCACAATTTGCTAAGATGTCTAAAAATTAACTTTAATAATCATAAAATTGCTTAGAAATTAGTTGTATATTAAACAGACATATCAATTTTTGAAACCCATGAGATGAAGAAGGTGCAAAGAGTTAATGATAAAAATACAGACTCCCTGAAATTGAGAATGCCTGAATGTTAAGGTGTACATTAAATTACACAACATGTTTTAAATAATCAGGTGCTAAACTCTAAGAATACATCACTTTCCTCCTAACAAATAACAATGTGATGTACCTTGAAGGAAAGATCTAGAAAAGGAATCCTAACTCATCCGTATACACTTGTAATTTAATTATGAATATTAACATTTACATCAGGTTTCCTTATTATTTATATTTTGAAATAACCACATTTATAGATTCAAAAACTTCTTTTCTGGTTTTCCAGGAAGTGAGTGTTTAAAATAACTATTTTTTATTTCAGAAAAAAAAAATGTTTGCCCTCCTTCCTCATTTCCCAAACAGGACACATCCACAGCTGACTTTTCTTTTCATTTATTTTCTTTATTTTATTTTATTTTATTTTATTTTTTCCATCATCATTTATCCCCTCTATGCTCTCTTCCACCTCCACCCACACATGACGTTTTGTCAGGATTTCAACTCACCTCAAATGGGCCATAGTCAGGGGGGAGCTTCTCCAGCATGTCGTCGGCCAGCCGGGCCACCACGGCCTCCCGGGTCTCATCCCCGCCACCAGAGCTGTCCTTGGGCTGGATGCCCAGGATGGTGTCCAGCACGTCCTTGGCCAGCTTGCTCTGGTAGGTGATGTCGGCATTGGGGTGCAGCCCGAAGACCTCGGGGCTGTCGTAGGTGGGCAAACTCTGAACAACAAGCACCCCGGTAAGCACAGACTGCTGACATAAGTACCAGATAAACTGTACTGTCTTAGGAAGGAAACATGTTTTTATTAGGATAAGCCTTTATAAGAGATGTCTCGGTTATGTCAGGCCACCATCTCAACCATTTCTCCAGAAAAGAAAAGCAAACATTGCCTTGAAAAAAATTAAGAAACATAATCAGCTCATGGCATTTTAATGTCTGCATCTCTAGATACTTTAATCAAATAGATGCTGTCATGTTTTAGAAGATGTAATACAGAAAGGGAGCTATGAATTGGTGTTTTGTTTTCTGAAGGTTCAATCTAATTCAAGTCAGTTGTTTTCAAGAAGGTTGGATAACTAATGGTTACTATGTTTTTAAGATACCAGAAAGTGACAGTTTAGCTCAATTCGGGCCCAAGTAAGGGAACTGTATTCACCTGGGGAGAAAGAGACATGGAGAAGAGGTAAGTATTGAGAGAGCAAGAATCAGCGAGGAAAATAGACAGCAAGAGATGGACAGCAAGTGACAGAAGCAGAACAAGCATGCAAAATTCCACACCCCGCCCCCAGCTATTTGAAAAGCAAAATATTTACCTGCAATTTGACATATATTCCTATGTATGAATTGTATCCTACGCTTTACTTTTGTCTTATTCATATTTCCTCCTTCTTTCTATTCCCTTATTTTATTCTTTTTTACATGTCATCTTAGAGCAACCTCAAGTTCATTGTGAAATGAGAAGTATATAAATAAATATATGTACAGGCATATTTAAATTTATACCTTCATAGGCACTCTCCTATTCAGTGCCAATGATTTAAGGACACATATAGTATAATTAAGACACATCTATTTGTTGATTTGAATTACTGGAAGTATAAAGGTGGTAATATATGATAAGCTCATCACATTTATTTATCACAGAACCTCTAAATAAACATAAATTTAGCCCTGTGGGGCTGTGTGCTTTAGTTTGTTCATTCTGAGATAAATCTTAGAAGCAAAAGAGATTGCTAAATAATGATCTAATTAATTCAAGGTTTAGAGACAGAAAATGTAGTTACCTTGAAACACAAATCCAATTTCTTCCCCAAATTTCCTGTCAAAATCTATCTTCTTTTTTCTTAGAGCAGTGTTTCTCAATCAGGGGTGATTTTAGCCCCCAGGGGATAGTTGGCAATGTCTGGAGAGATTTTTGGTTGTCACAACTGGGTGGGGATGATACTGAAATCTAGTCAGGAGAGGACAGGGTTGCTGCTCACCACGCCCCCAAAACAGCCCCCAGCACTTCCCCCACTACAAAGACGTACCTGGCCCTGAATGAGGAAACTCTTCTACCAGTGGACTCCTGCGCATGCTCATACACTGTCCATCAGGCCAGGATTAAGGAGCAGATGTCCCAAAATAAGGCAAGTGGGTTGAAAAATAGAACAGACTGTGTCTACAGACTGCCTCTGCCCTATCATAACAGGTAACTGAAGTCTCACAGAGAGAGAGCTCCAAGGAACTGGTGTAGGTTCCCCAGTTCTAATCTGTTCAATCTATCACCTCCCCAAAGAATATTCTTCACTGAAGCGTTAAAGAGATTAGGGGGCGGGAATTCATACAAAACACACACAAAACAAATATAAACATTTTAGTCCTTAGGTAAAACAAATATAAGAAGAAAGCATCTGTGGTGGAAGGTTCAATATGTATCACCATTAAAATTTATACTAAAGGGAGTATATAGAGTATAAATAAAAAACCAAAAGGCCAAATGCTGGGGATATTTACTCTAAGCATAAAATTCTGACATTGACAAACCTGGATATAGTGAAGATAGTTATCCACTGTGCTGCATTTTGGAATATTGTATCCTTGGTAAAAGCTGAAATCCGGTGCAAACATATTTTCACTGAACCAAACCTTAGCAAATGTATTCAACAGTCTCTTATCATAGTCATCGGTGACTCTGCCTCCATATTGAATTTCGCCTATCATGTAGCGGACAGTAGACCAGGAGACACCCTGGGAAAAATTGTAGAATAATTGTGTAGAAATGACTACTGCCTCATCCTCATTTTCCTTACTCATTCATTCGTTCATGCATGCATTCACTCATTCGTTCATTCCTAATGTGAAAAATGCAGAAATAAAATTAGGCAAACATAAGTGATTACTCAAAGCTCATCTTCATGACTTGAAATAGACTCTGCATTCATATTTTCATATTTTAATTTCAATAGAAAAATATTTATTTTTTTAGAATATTGAGGCAGTTATTTTAAAAGCACACATTTCAAAAGGAATCTAGAATTCATTTTTTAAAATCTTTTTAAAATAAGTTTCCCCACTTATCCCCCTCCCCCTGGAAATACAATACCCTGTTAGGATGTTTTATATGAAATGTCAACTTGACTGAGAAATTAAAAGATAATAAAAATTTGTTATTTTTTAGCTGAAATCAAGAGGCAAATGTGACCTGAGTTGCTATGAATTAAAGATGACTTTGCAAGCACAGAAAATCATCACTCTTATAAGATTCACTCCAAAGCTGGGGGATGGGAGCCACGATAACTTGGGGACCCACCATCACCAGTGGCATGAAGCAGCTCACACACAGTACCTTTTTGATATCCATGTCATCCAAGTGGTTTTGGATGAACTGCACGGTGGCATTAAAGTCCGCTTGATTAAATTCATAAGGGATGTTCCACCCTAGGGGACCAAACTTCCGCCTCTCCTGGACCGTGGAGTGCAGGAACGCCACTGCGTACAGCATGGGCTTCCACTGGGCCACCGTGCTCACATCCAGCAGGTCTTGGCTCACACCTGTGGTGATCAGCTGGGTGAATATCTGTATCATCTCTCAAACATCTCTATTTTCTATTTAAGTTATTAATTCTCTTTGTAAATTCCTAAATTAAACTTCACTTATCTTGAATTACTTTTATGACATTCATATGGTAACTATAATTTAACTTTTGCACATCCAGAGGGCATTCCTCTCTGAAAAATCTGCAAAGAGATTTGAAGGGAGGAGGGGCTCACTAACATGATTCAAGTTCCTGCCAATCTAACAAGATAATGTGGGGATAAAATCGAGGTGGAAGAATGATGGCAGTAAAATAAATACTGCTACTATTACTACAACCACCACTACTAA